GGCCCAGCTGCACGTAGCTGGTGCTCACCGCGCCGCGCACCCGCACCGAGGCCTCGTCCTGCCTCTGGTAGGACGCCACGGTTCTCAGCCCGTCCACCTGCACGGCGGCGGCGTTCGCCTCCCGGCCCGGCCCGGGCCCCGCGCCCTCCTCCTCCTCCTTCTGCGCGGTGATCTGATCCATCCGCTCCCGGCGCTTGGCGAACATGAGGGCCCCCTTGCCCGTGCTGTCGGGTAACAGCTCCATCTTGTCCCCTCGGGGCAGCTTCTTCTCGATGTCCACCAGGCCCGAATCCCAGTCGAAGGTCACCACCTGGGGCCCGTCGTCCTCAGCCTCCGACAGCAGCTCCTCATCCACCTCGGATTCGCTGGTGCCCAGGAATGCCACCTCGCAGGCGTCCTCCCTGTCGCCCTCCTCCTCCTCCTCCTCTTCCTCCCTCCCCAGCTCTCCCGTGCCGTAGCTGACCAGCGTGTATTTCCTGGCCCTCCGCCGGCGCTTCTTAAACATCAACACCCCCTTGGAGTTGGGGTTGGGGGCATCCGTCAGAAGGAGGGCGATGCTTTTGCATTTAGACTTTGCTTCCTTCACCTGCTTCTCGGACAGGCTTTCACTCCTCCGGAGTCCTAGGGGAAGCACAGAAATCAAATTGAGCGGACACATTCAAGGAAGACTCCATAGCAGTCCCACAGTTCATGCCCCTTGGCTTTGAAAAAGCATATGTGAAAAAGTGCTTATAATTGAGCACTGGATTTTGAAGGAATATAATTTTAGTTCCCTTCCTTTCCTCCCTCCTCCCCTTGTTTCCTTCCTTCCTTCCTTCCTTCCTTCCTTCCTTCCTCACTTCCTTCCTTTCTTCCTTCCTCACTTCCTTCCTTGCTTCCTCCCTCCCTCCCTCCCTCCCGTCCTTCCTTCCTTCCTTTATTCCTTCCTTCATCCCTTCCTTCTTCTTCCCTTCCTTCCTTCCTTTTCTCCCTCCCTCCCTCCCTCCCGCCTTCCTTCCTTCCTTCCTTCCTTCCTTCCTTCCTTCCTTCCTTCCTTCCTTCCTTCCTTCCTTCCTTTCTGCCTCTCCCTCTTTCTCCCTTCTTGTTTCTTTTAGTACTGGGTATTGAATCTCTGTCTTTGCCCATGCTGAACACAAAACCACTAAGCACTTAAACCCCCCTGCCCTATTTCTTTTCGAATCTCTATTTCTATTACAATAAACAATATATAATAACACTTTTTCCACTTATTCTTGTGAATACCTTCCATTCTAGGTGCTGATTAGAATGTATTACATTTGTTTTTCTGTGACCTTTTATACTTCAGTGATAAAAATTAAACTACAAAATGCCAGTTAATAGGATACAAGTTGAGTGGATAAGAACATAATTTAAGAACATTGTATTTTCTGAAAAAAATCAAGATGTATTTTGAACTTCTGTATTTAAAAAGAATAATGTCAGGCTGGGAAGGTGGCTCAGTGGTAGAGCACTTGCCTTGCATGCATGAGGCCCTGGATTTGATTCCTCAGCACCACATAAGCAGAAAAATCCAGAAGTGGCGCTTTGGCTCAAGCAGTAGAACACTAGCCTTGAGCTGAAGAGCTGAGGGACAGCACCCAGGCCCAGAGTTCAGGCCCCACAACTGACAAAAAAAAAATCAGTATTTCATGACTTTTAAGCATCTTAAAAATGAGGGGAGTATGTGGAGCTATGGCTCAAGTGGCAGAGTGCCAGCTGTGAGTGAAAAAGCCAAGTGAGACCCTGAATTCAGTTCCCAGTACCAGTACACAACACACACACACACACACACAAAGAGAGGATATGCCTCAAGGGGAAAAATTAAAATGTTTAAATATTTTAGTGTAATAAATTTAGCTACTTAGGATTTTTCTTCTTTTATTTCAATTTGGCAACAATCTAAAATATTTCTTCCAGAGCTACTGAACTAATGTTAAAGCAGAACACCGAGTTAACCCAAGATACTGAATTACTAATTATACTCCAAAATGCTAGACTTCGTGAATCTGTATAATGAACACTAGCTACAAATTTGTCTAGAATTTATAAATATTTTGCTATTTTGAGAATACAATGTTATTTCAATGGCAGTAAGAATTAGTATAAATCTTGAGAAAATTTAAAATTCATATGACCTGTGGTCCTTTCAACTGGTGTAGAAACTGAGGCAGTAATTAGGTTGTTTGAAACATTAGCTTTATCATTATACAGTAATAAAAATTACACATTTCTTTTACTAATATGGTAAAAAATAAATAGTGGTCAGTTAATTTGTAGCATCAGTCAATTATAGTCACATTTTAGTACTATAAATATCCATGTTAGTAAAATTATAAGCACATTTTAATAAGTATGATCCACAAATGTTAACTCTTCAAGATAGTTCAATGGAAACTCAGGAAAATCAAGCATTTTGTGGCCACAAAGGACATTTTTATTAAAGTTTAAATTTTTCAGAATAGTATCAGGGAAGATAATTTTAACACAAAGCTACAGGTATTTCCTGGTGATCAGATTCTGTGCAGAGGAAATACTAAAAATGTGCTCACTTTACTGAAGGTGACCACTTTTTGACCAGTGTTATACTACTGATCATTAAACTGACAGTCACAGTTGTACAGTTGTTGCTAATTTCAATGCCAACACTTAAAATATGTGAATGCTGTCTTAATACTCTTATTTAATATGCTATAAATGTGAAGATGGCCCTCGGATGCTTAAAGGATAAGGAATGATTGATGGTACTTGCCAATAAAACTACAGATGGTTATGCTAAAAATATGCTTTGAAAGCAATTGTGATGGGCTAGAAGGCTTAATTGGCTACTTTGAATAACCAAGTTCATTGCTAGTGTACCATTCATGCATTCAAGGACCTTTACATCCTGAAATAAAATCTCCCCATTTGTAAAAGAAAAAAAATACATGCACATACAAGAAAACACCCAAATCATGACAGCTAACTGCAAGCCTCATCCTGTTCCTCGGCTCACTTCAGGAGCCTACAACAGACTGCCACAAAAAGTCTTAAATTCCAGGGCATTTTTGTGTGTGTGAGTGGGGTGAGACATTTGAATGCCTGGAGATGGCTGTCTATGTCTAGAAGGTAGTTGAAACACTCTGCAGTCTGGTGCAGACTTATACAACAGTTAGGATCATGTAACTGCTCAGAACCACACATGCCCCTGTCTGTCAAACTCATTTCTGCAAGCATCATCAAGCTGCAAAGGGGGTTTTGTTCAAAACGAAGGTCTGCTTTTAATATCAGTGGTGGAGTCTGCCTCTAAAATACTCTTTCAAGTAGCAGGATGAACTGTTTTTGCCATTTAAAGTCAGAATCCACATGACTTGGGATAAAACTCTGTCAGGCTATTTTAACAGGAAATGGTTGAGCATTCTGAAAACAATCAAAAAGGCCCACTGACCATATTGTTTTCTTGAGCCTTCAGGGAGAACAAAAAATTCATAAAAAAAAAGTAAATCTACTAGGATGTTTCAATCCACTGTTCCATTCACAAACTAGTATATTCTCCATAATTTCATATTGGTTATTTTTGCATTAATTCATTGCTTAAAAAGTTAATAAAGACATAAGGAGAAAAGATACAAGCAAACACAATTCATGCAGACAAAGCGTCCGTAAAATGTCTTAAATGACCAATAGCCCTGGTAGCTAGGCACCCACCCAGGACAGGACTTACTTGCGTGCCGAGCTCTGTGCTTGTGTGGTCTGCTATGATCTCTGTCGGAGCGTGGGTCTTCTCCCTGCTCTGTGCCTTCTGATGAGACGGCAAAGGAGACCAGAGAAGGAGGTGCTTCTGACTGCCCTCCTTCCACTGGGGAAACCACACACCCCTTTCCTGCCTGCAGCCTGCGCCCTTCTGCCTTCTGTCTGTCAGAGCAGTCGAAGATCACTTCCACACGGGCCAGTCCCAGATCGTCTTCAGCTTCCTCTCCCTGGATCACTGTCAATTCTCTGCCACTGGAAATCTGGATGATCTTGCTGGACCTCAGAGAAGGGTCTGCTCTCTCATGAGCAATCACTGAATTGATGTGCAAGTCCTCCTCATGGTAGAAGCTAGAGTCTGGGTCAGGAGATTTTAAATTTTCAGCTCCCTGGACAGCCACTCCAGGGCCCTGACTGCCCTTGTGTCTCACCTCAGAGAGTGACAGCTGTAGCTCCACCACAGGGCCTGCTCCTACCTTCTCCCTCAAGATGGTTTCTTCAGCCAAATAGCCTTCCCGGGGATCCCTTTGGTGGCTCAGATCTGTTTCTTTTTCTATGTCTCTGATACAATTGGAAGCACTTCTCTGGTCTTCAGCTAGGGGAGCCCCACCCTGGACTGAGGTGGTGAAGACCTCCCCATGCTGGGTCTGGATGGCTGGGCGAATCTGTAGGGTCGTCCTTTCCACACAGTCCCCATGTGGGAGCTGTTCCTGGGGTTCATTCTGAGTTTCGGAGACCAAAGCTTCGCTTATTCCACTAGATGGTCTGCAGACAGAAGAACAATTCCAGACAGTGAAACCAAAGTGAGTCCTACCTGCCAGAGAGTTTCCTGCCATTTTGATATTTAATACATGATACAATCAATATGTTCCCTCTGTGTCCACTGTAGTACAACATAACTTGAAAATGGGTTCTTGTGATTAAACCCTTTCAAATAGCCAGGTGCTGGTGGCTCACACCTTTAATCCTAGCTACTCAGGAGGCTGGGATCTGAGGATCGTGGTTCAAAGCCAACCTAGGCAGGAAAGTCTGTGAGACTCTTACCTCCAATTAACCACCAAACAAAGCCAGGAGTGGAGCTGTGGCTCAAGTTGGTAAAGTGCCACCCTTGAGCAGAAAAAGCTAAGGGACAGTACTCAGGCCCTGAGTTCAAGCCCCAGTGCCATCACACACACACACACACACACACACACACACACACACACACACACAAGCTTTCCAATAAACTATTCGTTAAAGCACACAGAAATATTTACAAAATATTTGAAGCCTAATTCTATCCTAAGGTCACTTTTTTTTTTTTTTAAATAAGCTCAGGGTGCAGTTAAATGTCCTTTTTTTTTTTTTAAAGTGATTTGGATATTGCCACTTCATTGTGTTTGCTACAAGGTGACAAAACATTTATGGAATAAATTGTGGTCTAGACATTTTTCAAGTCACCCAAACAAACCCAACAGCTTCAAACCAAGATTAAATTACAGATAATTCAAGTAATCCTTTTTCAGGCTCTGCCTTCTTGAAAGAAATGAAATAGAAGCTAGGTTTGTTTTTTTAAAGCTCCACTAGGCATGTGTGTGGTAACAAGTGGACCCTAGCCTAGCACTCTGTGTAAAGAGAAATGCTTTCCACGCTGCACTCAGCCATTAAGTCATGGAGTATTTATAACTGAGACCTCTTCCCTTTTACTGGAATGAGACTTCTCCAGCATTCTCCTATTCGGATCTCTGAAGGCAAACTATTCCTTTATCTCTCCCCTTTGGAGCCCAGATCACCACAATCCTTTTTCATTTAGACTCAATCATACACAGTAGCTTTTGCTAGTTTGGGTTTGTGAGAAGCAATGTCAGTTTAAGAGTTAAACAACTTCTCTCTAAAGATCTAAATGCTTCTAGAAGAGAAGCAGCAGTTACTGAAACAGCTATAGGAGACACTCTCATTTTCACACTTGGATGTGTGTGTGTGTGCACACACACGCACACCAGTCCTGGGGTTTGAACTCAGGTCCTGAGTACTGTCCCTGGGGTTTATTTTGCTTACACCTGGTGCTCTACCACTTAAGCCACAGCTCTGCTTTCAGCATTTTTGGTGATTGATTGGAGATAAGAGTCTCCTGGATTTCCTGCCTGGGTTGGTTTGGAACCTTGATCCCTAGATCTCAGCCTACTGAGTAGTTAGGATTACAGGTGAGCCACTGGCTCTTGGTTTATTTTTTTAAAAGCAGTCATAGCTGCTTGTTCCCCCAAACCAAGGCAGGAATCACTCACCCAAGAAAGGAATTCTGTTTCTTCCTACTCAATGAAATTTACCCTACAATTCATGTGGAAGTACAATTTCTGACCAAGGTTCAAAATGTTTACTCCTTAAAGTTTGCTTTGGGCTCCATTTGGCAAAACAAAACAAAAATTAATAGTCAAACAAAACACATCTTTTCTCTATAAAGATACTCTGAAATGCTTCCTGGTAATATGATATTTTTAAAACATTGCATCAAAGAGTTTTTGATAGCAGGTTGGACCATCTTTACGTAGGAAACAATTAATACACTCTGTCAAACAGAATCTGAGGGAAGCAAATATCAGAGAGTTTTAATCTAAAAAGACCTTGAGAGGAAAATAGATCAAATCACTTAGAATCACGTAAGACAGCAATAATCAAGCCAAGGGAGTAATTTAAATTCATTCCCATGGTATATACTAGAATGCAGCCAAATGCGCGAAATAAAAGCTAAGATCTCTTGTTGAGCACCAGTGGCTCACACCTGTAATCCTAGCTACTCAAAGGCTGAGATATGAGGATCTGGGTTCAAAGCCAGCCTGGGCAGCAAAGTCCATGAGACTTATCTCCAATTAACCACCAAAAAAAGCTGGAAGTGGAGCTGTGCTTCAAGTAGTAGAGCAATAGTCTTGAGCAAAAGTACTCAGGGACAGTACCCAGACCCTGAGTTTAAGCCCCAGAATCACATGCATTAAGCTCTCTTCACAACTGAATTAAAATGTATATACATGAATAAGAAGCATAAAAGCCCCACATAGATGAGAGAGAGATGATATTAAATCTTTAACCACTCACTTCACTGTAGTCTCTACAAGAACACACCGTTTCTACAACATAGTTTTATGACCACTACTTTTATGTCTTATCATTTCAATAAAGTTTAAGATAAGAGACTTTGAATGAAAGGGGGGGTGTTTAAAAATAGTCTTCCTCAGCTATCTTTGGGCACTAATCCAGAAAGAGTCAAACACTTGTCCTCTAGTGAGAGCCAGCAGGGATGGAAGGGAGAGAAAACATAATTGTAGGGAGCCACATTCAGATCTCCAGGGTATAGGTGGTGAGGATGAGGCTGGTGCTGGCCTTCGGGATGATTTTAATGGAAGAGTTCATATTGAATCCCGTTAATTAATGATTTATTTCTTAAAAAATCAAAAATACCCAGGATAATGATGATAATGACCATGTTTCTAGTTACTCAATGTAGTAGAGAACTAGCTTATTTGTTCTAGAAAGTAAATAGATACCTGGAACTCAACTTTTAAACCACCAGGGATTTTTTTTAATCATTATTTTTATTTCCTCAGAGATAGCCATCATAATCAAAACAAGAACTAGAAGATGATGTCCTGGACAACAACTGTGTTCTGGAGAAATTGGCCTCATTAAGACATTAAAAAAAAACAGAGGGAATAAAATAGAAAAGATTGTTTTCCCTGTTTTGGAGATGACTGAAACTTCTCAAACACGGTGATCTTTGAATACTTCACAGATTTATAGGGGATGATGGCTGTGATTCTGTAGAACTGTTACTTGCCAACATTCCTCACTGGGTTCCTTCAAAGAGCAAATGGCAGCTTTATAAATAAGCAAGAGCCCAAGCATTTGGTGAATAAATGTTTAGATGTGGGGTTCTAAGAAGATGCTAAATTTTTCTTCTTGTCACAAGATTTGAGCCTTTGTAAGTTCATGTTTATGTAGAAATGGGATCCTACTGAGTGACTAGCTTAGGTTTAATTCTCTATGCAATATTTCTGCAGAGACTTAAACCCCAGAGGCTAGGGAGAGAGGGAAAGGGAGAGAGAGAGAGAGAGAGAGAGAGAGAGAGAGAGAGAGAGAGAGAGATCCCTACTAGGCCTAAGTTGCAAGATCAGTATGGATGGAGTATCCTGGATTTGTACAGTGTAAAAGTGTGGACGCTGTCATTTTTTATGATTGCCCTCAACCTTGTGTCCTTACTTTTACCTTTTACAGTTCTCCTTTGTATTTTTAAATCGTAGCAGTATTTGGAGAGATTGAATGCACAAGTGATTTGCTTTTCCATGTGTGTTAATACCTGTGTAGGGGCTTGAATTTGGGGCCTTACACTCTCATTTGTTTTTTTCCACCCAAGGCTGGTGTTCTACAACATTTGAGCCACAGATCCACTTCTGGTTTTTTGCTGATTAACTGGAGTTAAGAGTCTCATGGATTAGTCTGCCAAGGCTGGCTTTGAATCTTAAGCCTCAGATCTCAGCCTCCTGAACAGCATGAGCCACTAGCTGTGTGTGTGTGTGTGTGCGCGCGCGCGCACGCGCGCATATGCACATGTGTGCATGCTAGTACTAGAGCTTGAACTCAGGGCCTGGGTACTGTCCCTTAGCTTTTCACTCAAGGCTGGTGCTCTGCTACTTGAGCTACACTCTACTTTCAGCTTTTGATGGTTAATTGGAGATAAAAAGAGTCTCATGGCCTTTCTCACCCACACATATGAGACACCAGTGCCTGGCCTGAGATTTACTTTTTTTTTTTTGTCTATTGTGGGGTTTGAACTCAAGGCCTAGGTTCTGTCCTTGAGCTTTTCTTTGGTGGTGGTGGGGGGGAGTCGGTCGTGGGGCTTGAACTCTTGGCCTGGTCGCTGTCCCTCAGCTCTTCAGCTCAAGGTGAGCGCTCTACCACTTGAGCAACAGTGCCACTTCCGGTTTTCTGGTGGTTTATTGGAGAGAAGAGTCTCACAGACTTTTCCTGCCTGGGCTGGCTTTGAACCATGATCCTCAGATCTCAGCCTCCTGAATAGCTTGGATTACAAGCATGAGCTACTGGCACCTGGCTGCCCTTGAGCTTTTTTGTTCAAGGCTAGCGCTCTACCACTTTGAGCAACAGCTCCATTTCCACTTTTCAGGAGATTGGAGATAAGAGTCTCACAGTCTTTCCTGCTCAGGCTGACTTCAAACTACCATCCTCAGATCTCAGCCTACCAGCACTATGATTTGTTTTTGATAGCTCAAATATTGATTATATTGTCCTGGAGTAAAGATTTTTAAAAATATGTTTTTATCTGTTCTCAAGTACTGATTCCCTTGGAGGTCCTGGAAAGCAAAAATCTGAGATTTTTAAACTTTTAAAAATTGCCCATTTATCATTAATATTTTTATTTTGTTTTGTTTGTCCCATCTCCTAGGTATCCTTTGTGAAAATAGTACAGGCCAATAATGTAACACAACATTTTTAATTCATCTGCAAATCTGGAAGCTATAACTGAATAACCTGAGCTGTCAGAAAATCTTAATGTTAGAAGGAATTATCCATCTTCTGAACAGTCTCAGGAAGCACTTGGAACAAAAGCACTTTAACTCTCCATCAGCAAGCTCGGTTGGACAGAAGTGGCCATGTTTCAAATGCTGTGGCAGTTCTGTTTAAGTTTCCTGATCTTCTACAAAGCGCCTTACCAAGTCTGTCATAAATGACATTACATAGATGTAATAGGAGCTCTCGCTGTTCCTACCTAGCTTCAAGAGAACAGACCGCTTCCAGCCCAGGGCTGTACCTTTTCACCAGCATCTGCAGGGAGTCCACTATGCTCTCCATGAGCTTGATGACTTCAGGGTAGGTGAGGTCTGTGCAAGGGTTGCCATTGATAGACACAACTTCATCCCCCTCACACAGTCCCGATCCAGAGGCTTTGCTCTGGCTTCGAATCTGGGGAGAGCAAAAAATAAAATGAGGAACAGAATCACTCAACTTGTACAAACCACACCACCATCTATGAGACAAAGAGAAATAAATCTGCAAACTGGGAAATCAGCCCTGAGTTTTCATTCACTTATTAGCCTATAAGCCTATTAATAGTAAACAGTGTTCATGACCACACACACACACACACACACACACACACACACACACACATTTCTGAATGAGGTCATTTAATTTATCATTGTAAGAAGACAGGGAAAATGGAAAGTGTATATCAATGGGAAGAAACCAGAAGAAAGATATTACATGTTTAAATTGATCACATATTGAAAATAATCATTCTACATTTAAAGTATCTTTAAACCCAGCCTGAAAACAATTGTTTCCATTCAAATAAAATTTAAGGCTGGCCAGGTGATGATGGTTCCCACATGTAAATCCTAGCTATTCAGGAGGCTGAGATCTGAGGATTGTAGTTAGAAGCCATCTGAAGCAGAAAAGTTGGTGAGACTCTGACCTCCAATAAACTACTCAGAAAAGGCTGGAAGTGGCACTGTTGCTCAAGTGGTGTAGTCTAGCCTTGTACACAAAGAAGCTCAGGACAGCATCCCATGCCCTGAGTTTCAAGCCCCAGGACCAGCAAAAAAAAAATACAGTAAGCCTGGCCCCAGTGACTCACACTTGTAATCCTAGCTACTCAAGAGACTAAGATCTTAGGATCATGGTCAGAAGCCAGCCCAGGCAAGAAAGTCTGTGAGACTCTTATCTCCAATTAACCAGTAAGAAAAACAGAAGTGGAGGTGTGATTCAAGTGGTAGAGCACCTGCCTTGAATGAAAATAAAAACTATGCTAGAACTCAAGGTCTTGAGTTCAAGCCCCAATACTGGCAAAAATAATGAAAGAAGAATGAAAAGTGCCAAGTTGTAAGGATGGCATCAGATTCTGCAACAGAATGGCATGCAAGAACAAATTAATAAACACCTAGAAGAAAACTTCAGAGGAGTAGAATAATGGCGAGGGGACGCAGAAATCTTATGTAATTGTGGTAAAAGGCTGGCTTGATTAATTTCCATCTACGCTTTCAGTACTTTTCCCTTCCTTCCCTTGAGTGTTAAAGAGGAATGGTTTCTAGGGACCACATTGACTGAGCTCCTGGTTTTGGATTTGGCCAACAAGAAGCTCCAGTACGAGTTCACAGAGCAAAGGGCAGGTCAGGGTTTGGGGTTCCCTGCTGGGGTGCCATGCCTCTTTGGGCAGAGAGCCATAACTCATGGCAGTCTACCTCTTTCCCCTAGTACCTTAACTCTTGTTAAGCTCCATATATACACTCACTGTCTAGGCCTCAAGGTAGTAAGAGCTTCCTGCGCTTCATCCTTGGGTGTTTGGGGTACTGCATTATAATGTCCTGGTTTCCTTGAGACTATTGTTAAGTCTCCAAATTACATTAGCTAGAAGTGATTCTTTGAATATGTCACTTATTTCCTGCTGGTACCCTAGGGTACTTGAATTTCATTTTCCAATGTCAGCTTGTTTAATAGTTCTTAATCAACTATGTAGCATGATTTAAAACTTCAACTTTTAAGAGCACTTGAAGATACTATTCTAGAGGTTTTCTGCTCAAGGGGATCCCTCTCTAATGATTAAAATTCAGATTCTGGGGCTGGGAAGGTGGCTCAGTGGTAGAGCGCTTGCCTTGCATGCATGAGGCCCTGGGTTCAATTCCTCAGCGCCACATAAGCAAAAAGAAAAAAGCTGGAAGTGGCGCTGTGGCTCAAGTGGTAGAGCGCTAGCCTTGAGCTGAAGAGCTGAGGGACAGCACCCAGGCCCAGAGTTCAGGCCCCACGACCGGACCAAAAAAAAAAATTCAGATTCTGAGTCCAGAGATGTCAAAATCAATAAGAAGTAATGTGTAAAGTAATGTGTGTGCATGCTGACCCCGGGGCTTGAACTCAGGACCTGTCCACTGGCCCTGAGCTTTATCCTCAAGGCTAACACTACCACTTGAGCCACAGTTCCACTTCTGTTTTTTGGTTTTGTTTTTTTTTGTGCTTAATTGGAGTAATAAGCTTCAAGGGCTTTCCTGCCTGGGCTGGCTTCCAACCTGGATCCTCAGACCCCAGCCTCCTTAATAGCTACTGATGCCCAGCTTAATAGGCAGCAATTCTTAAATAATATTACATAGTCACGTTCATGCCCAAATAGGACCTGAAATATTTCAGTTTGTCTCTGTTAGATGTCCAGTAACTCCTGATAAGGTCTTACTGCCAATGAAAACATTAATTGATAGAGATTGTCAAATAATATTCTTGAAAGATTAAAGCCAAAACTGTAGCATTGTTGAAAAGAGAGCTTTGGTTACTTTTATTCTTGGTGGGCCTGTTTGTATTGGCAGAAATTACAATCTATAGAATACAATCTATAGAACTAGAAGGAAGCAACAAGAGAGAACATTTGCTTGATTATACAAATACCAAGTAGACTGACAAATGCTTTTGTTCTGACTTCCCTTACATAAACTATGTAAAATGAAGGATCACAAGAGAGTTGTTAATAAGCCAAGAATCAAAGTTGGGAGTATACTTATTAGTTCATCTTTAATTCATTAAACTTTTGTTTCTAAAATTTAAAAACTTGATTACTGACCACGCATCTTCTTGAGGCATGGAGTCATTCATTCAATGGAATCAGATCGCCTAACTAAGAGTTCAGCCTTTGGAGAGCCGATGAGGGTTCAGGTTCAAGAAAGGTCCATATGTCCTAAAGTTTTTTTGTGTGTGTTTTGTTATCCAAGCTCAAAGCAGCTTCATAAGCTTGCAGGGCACAAATGAAAAATTGATTCTTGGAAAGTAAATAAATCTTCATCTTCACAGAGCTATCATCCGCAACATACATTGCTTGACAGGCCATGTGCAGTTCATCATGGCACCTGTCAAGGGGACCTTCTCATAGCTAGTCAAGGAGGGCGGTGCACCATGGCAGAAGTCAGCCATCAGCATTCCTTTAGCACATCCATTCCCAGGTCAACTCTCAGAGGCAACTGCTGTGATGACATTTGGCCAAACGTCTACATTTGTTGGAGCCACAGGAAATATTATTCCTTTAATAACCATGTGAAGGGGGTGCTATTGCATGCCTCTATTTCCAGCACTCTGGAGGCTGAGGTAGGAGGATTGCAAGTTTAAGGTCAGCCTGGGCTACATAGTGAGACATTGTCTCAACAGAGAAAGAGAAAAGGAAGAGAAAAGGAGAAGAGGAGAGGAGGGATAAGGAAGGAAAGAAAGGGTAGGGGAAAGAAAAGGAGAGAGGAGGAGAGAGGGGAGGGAAGAAGGGGAAGGAAAAGAAAGGGGAAAGAAGGGGAGGAAATTATGTTAATATTTTGTCTCAAAATCTTGTCTGAGGAGCAAATCTTTTTCCATTTTTCCAAGAAGTATAAAACCAAATTTAAAAATGTAGCAGATCTCTTACAGCGCACCACTCCCTTGCGGTCACCAGCCTCCATAGGTATTTTATGAAGTGTACATTCATGTGGATTACTAATATAAGATCTTTACTTGATAGCACGTATGCTTATATGTATTTATAATTAGCATAATTGCCCATTCTTATGTTTATGTATAGAAATTCTAGTTGTTGAAAATGTTCTTAGTTGTGAAAAAACACATATATTGTCAGTGTGTCTGGATGCATGAACCATCCAGTATTGACAATGCCAGTTCTGCCTCAGTGAATCTGCCCATTAGCCTTGTTCTCAGCCACCAGTGCTAGAGCCACCAAATACAGGTGACAGTGGCAAGAGAATCTACTCCAAAGCTGATTGACAAGATCTGGATCCTAATTATGTGGCTCCAGTGTACATATCTGCCTGAACATGGACATGCTACCATTCTGGTCTCTAAAGTATAAAACATGGGTCATCAGCCTGCTCTTAGATGAGTAACAAGGATTAGAAGTAATGTGCACAAAATCCCGTGATGTGCAAACATCTCATAGACGTGCTCTAGATAGGATGGTAAGTGCAAATGTAGGGGCTTCCTACACACACACACACACACACACACACAATCACACACATCACACACAACATGCAAGTATATACACACCGCCTACACATCACACACAGATCACCCACAACATATATCACATGTAGCATATATCACAACCACACACTGCACACTGCACACATCATATGCAAATCATATACAGATCACATGTAACACACATCACACGCAACCACCTATACACAAACCGCATACTCATTTTATGCAGATCTAACACAGCACACAACACATTTCACACATAAATGCATCACACAAAACACACACAACACGTCGCAGTATACACCACATACCAATCACATCAAGATCACACACATCACACAATGCATATCATGCACAACACGTCATATATCACACACATACACTCACCACATGAAAGAAATTTGCCAAATGAAAATAAAAGCTGTACAATCATTGGTACTTAGTCCACACGTAGTTTGAAAAAATCTGTTTTCTGTTTCTATTTTAAAATTTTTATTTATTTATTTTTTGCCAGTTATGGGTGCTGTCCCTCAGCTCTTCAGCTCAAGGCTAGCGCTCTACCACTTGGGCTACAGGGCCACTTCTGGCTTTTTCTGCTTATGTGGTGCTGAGGAATCGAACCCAGGGCCTCAGGCATGCAAGGCAAGCACTCTACCACTGAGCCACCTTCCCAGCC